CCGACGGAGCGCCTGCGGCAGAAGCAGGCGGCGGCGCAGAAGGAGCAACGAGGCTCCAAGCCTGCGCTCACCCAGCGCACCATCGTCGGCCACATGCTCGCGGCGCCGGAGAGGCAGCGCAGCGCGCAGCGCGCTGGGGCAGAAGTTGGGAGCTCGCCGCAAGGCAATCGAGGATGCGATGGCGGTCGAGAAGCAGATGCAAGCCCAGGTGGGCGAGCTCAGGGCGAAAGTCGTGGAGGCCCGCAGGGAGCTGGTCAAGGCGGTGCCTGTCGAGCCGGCCCAGTCCTGGAGCGCGGACACGCTGGGCAAAGAAGAGCTCGCCAAGGCCCCTGGGGTGAAGGCCATGCTCGAGTCGGCAGCGTGGACAGAGCTCATGGAGATGCTCAAGGCCACGGGCGTTCCACCATCAGGCCCAGCGCGCGCTCACCCTCGTGCTGGTGGTAGCCCAGACCCTGGTGCAGGCGACGTGCCAGTCCCTGGCCTGCGCGAGGACATGGACACTGACGAGACCGACGAGCTCTGGGAGTCCAGCAGGGGCGAGAAGCAGTCCTTCCTGGTGGGCTTGGCTGGCGAGCTCCTTTGACCAGGAGGCGGTCATGATGGGCCTGAATGTGGCTATCGGGTCGTTCGGGCATCTGTGCGGGAGCTGCGGCTTTCCCCTGGCGGCCCCTCTGGTCCGGTCCAGCCCCGTGGCCCCGGCGCGCGAGCGGCCAGGGGGAGCTTGGGTGCAGTCGGGGGGCGCCGAAACGGGTGAGGTGTGGCTGCCTGGGGTCGGGCGGCTCGGGGAGGCCTCGTTCGTCCGAGCCGCGCCTGAGGAGATGCGCCTGGGGTTCCAGTGTCGTCGGAGACTCGAGGTTCGTCGCGTGGGGACGGGGCCCCTCCTTGGTTTCAAGCAGACGGTTCCTTGTGCTGAGCTCCATGGGGCTACTGCGGCTTTGAAGGCCGCGACTGGGGACCTAACGCTCGTTGTAGATGACGCCTGGGTTGCGAAAGCTTTCGGGAGAGGTAGCGGCCATCGGCGCAGTGTGAATCGTTTTGCGTGGCGTGAGTTCTGGCGACTTGCGGGAGGCCGCAGGGTTCAGATGACCACAGTCAAGTCTCACGTCCTGCCCGAGGTCGAAGGCTGCCCAGGCGTGCCCCGGCAGCATTGGCTGGCCAACGGAGCGGCCGACAAAGGAGCGGAGGAGTCGGCCCGAGAGTGGGTGCGAGATCCCGCCCGAGGTCGTGCATCGTCTCGTTGCGGCGGACCGCCGCGCGTGGCAGGTCCAGGGGCACCTGCTGGCGGTCGCCCGCGCGGTGGCCGTGCAGGCCCGTTCTCTCTGCGGCCCCTCGTCACAGGCGGGGATTGCCGAGGGGGGGGTGCGGAGGAGGGAGGAGCAGGAGCTGGTCTCAGCCGCCCAGCAGACCACTGCCCACTCGGTGGCCCGAGATCGCCAAGGGTGGAGGTGCTGTGTGTGCGGGGCGAGGGCCGATCGCGGGGGGGCGGTGGAGTGAAGGGGGGGCGTTTGCATGGGAAGGGACGAGTCCCTGCGCCAGTCTCACATAATTCGGCATTCGAAGGGTGTGTGTTTGGTGTGAGCTCTGTGTGAGCAACGGGGCCCTTTCCAATCGGGGGGTGGGCCCTGTCAAGGTCCCAAAGCTGACCAGGCCCTGCCTGCCTGGCACTCGTGGGGAGTGGGGGCTAAGGTGATCAGGGCCCTGGCAGCGGGCAGACTGCCGCCAGGGTGCCGCGCTTGGCCAGACGAGCCATGTTCGGAGGGCTCGTGGTTCATTCGAATCGGGTTTTGTTTCGTTCGCCGTGCCTGTCTCGAGGATCTCACGGTGGGTTCGCGAAGAAAAAGAAGAGGAGTAGTAGGAGGAGGAGGATGAGGATGAGGATGAGGATGAGGATGAGGATGAGGATGAGGATGAGGATGAGGATGATGATGATGATGATGATGATGATGATGATGATGATGATGATGATGATGATGATGATGATGATGATGATGATGATGATGATGATGATGATGATGATGATGATGATGATGATGATGATGATGATGATTGATGATGAGATGATATTGATGATGATGATGATGATGATGATGATGATGATGATGATGATGTGATGATGATGATGATGAGGAGGAGGAGGAGGAGGAGGAGGAGGAGGAGGAGGAGGAGGAGGAGGAGGAGGAAGAGAAGGCGGAGGAGAAGGAGGAGGAGGAGGAAGAAGAGGAGGAGGAGGAGGAGGATGATGATGCAGGTGTTACAACCCGATGGTCACGGCGCCGACGCCGGTGACGGCGATCAAGGAGTGGTTCGAGCGGCCCTGCGGAAGACCGCCCCCGGCGGCGGGACGGTTCGTCAGCTTCCAAGGCGTCGAGCCGCACCGCGCCCATCCGCTGTGGTGGGTGGTCAGGCAGCGGTGCTGGTTCTGCGCGCAGTGCGCGGGCTCGGCGACGGAGCTCGTTTCGGCTAAGCTGCAGGAGGAGTGCCGCCGTGAGGTCAGCTGCAACCCGATGCAGTACAAGCTGCGGCAGTGGGCTCGCCTCGCCGACGCAGAGGAGTGGGATGCCGTGGCGAAGCGAGGCGGGCCCCCCACGGCAGAACCCGCCGCCCCCCCCTGTGCCTTCAGGAGGTCGCAGCGTGGCGGGGGAGGCCGGAGCGGTACCCGTGTAGGTAGGGCGCCGCGCGCGAGAGAGGGCCAGGCCGACGCGCCTGCCAAGGCCACCGCTGCAGCCGCCGCCCCAGGGGCAGCAGGCAGCCCAGGCGGAGGCGGAGGCGGAGGCCGAGGCAAGTGGAGCCGCGGCAGGCGCCGATCCCGACGAGCAGTTGAAGGCAGACGGGGCGGCGCAGGAGGAGTGGCGCACGCCTGTGCCCTTTTCAGTTCCCGTGCTGGCCACGGAAGAAAAGGGCACCGGGTGCCCTGCGCGCGGCAGCCGCCCGCACAGCAAAGGCAAAGGTGGAGGCAGCAGGAGAGCTGGGAACCGAGAGGGACCAGGGCCCCCCGCCCAGTCCAGGCGGGGACGGAGGGCCCCGCGGCCTGGTGGCCAGCGAGAGTCGTGGAAGAGGGAACTGCCCTGGACGGGGCTCGAAAGATTGGCCAACACTTGGGGGATGCCCATTCCCCGCCCTCGTCGCCCCCTCGTCGGCGCGGCTGGACCCCCGTCGCCGCGGAAACGAGTTTGCCTCGTCCAAAACCCACATAGCGACGCGGTCCAAAACGTGTGAAATTGTTGACGCTTCGCGTATCCCCACCAGCCCATCCAGAAACGATGCTCAGGGGAGTTGAGGTGATCAGGGAAGTCGGGGAGCATGCAGAATAACAAAGGGCGGGGGAAGCTGTCACAGACCCCGAGAGGGGGAGGATGGAAGAGGAGTCGTCGTCGTCGTCGTCGTCGTCGTCGAGGAGGAGGAGGAGGAGGAGGGGGAAGAGGAGGAGGAGGAGGAGGAGGAGGAGGACGGAGAAGGAGGAAGAATCGGAGGAGGAGGAGGAGGAGGGGAAGGAGCTTCTTGGGGGTCTTTTGAGGGCCTCTTGGAGGGCTTTTTGGGCGCCTTGGGGCATCTTGGGCGCCTCTTGGGACCCTCTTGAGGCGCTCTGGGGAGCCTTCGGGGCGCTTTTGGGGCCATCTTGGAGGGAGTCGATCAAACAAGAGGGGGGGTTTAATTAGCGCCCCCCCTCGGAAGCCCCTAAAATCGCCTCTTGGACCCCTCTTGGAACGCTCTTGGAGTGCTCTTGGGCGCTCTTGGGGCCGTCTTGGGGCTCTTTTGGGGCTCTCTTGGGGCCCTCTTGGGCCATCTTGGAGCCATCTCCAGGCCTCGGATAGCCATCGGAAGCGAAAAGGCGAGAAAGCAAAAATCATTGATTTTCCTTAGGTTTTGGGACGATTTTGGCCTCTTCGGGGCCTCCTTGGGGAGCTGTTTGGCCACTTGGAGTTATCTTGGGGCCGTCTTTGGGCTTCTTGGAACCATCTTAGGAGCCATCGTGAGCGATCTTGCGCTATCTTGAGCCATCTTGGAGCTCATCTTGGGTTCTCTGAGGCGCTCTTGGAGCCGTCTTGGGCCATCTTGGACGCTCTAACTACCCGCGGCCCCCCCCGTCCAGGTCCAGGGGAGGGGGTAGGGGGAGGGGTAAACCCCTCCCCAAGGGGGAAGAGGGAGGGGTGGAAGAGGATCTGCTCTAGACCACCTACGCCCAGAGGGCTGGTGGGATTCTTGTCGAAGACGCTTGCAAGGACGCTGGAAAGCATGCCTGGGGAGCTCAAAAGCTCGAGAAAGGAACTCCGCAGAAGATCACAGAGGAGCTTCGCAGAAGCTCCCAAAGAACTTCGAAGGAACTGCGGAAAGGCTTCCGGCACGCGTAGTGAGAACGAGTCGGAAAACGCTGCTCGGGACACAAGCAAGTTGCTGCGAGGTGTCTGGACTGGCGCCGGAAAGAGCTGCCGGGCCATCCTGCGCTGCCGGCTTCTAGTATGGAGCCCTCTTAGCTCTCAGAGAGCTATCCGGGAATGGACGGAGGCGCTGGTCAAGTGCTTGCCGGCCGCCGCCAAAGGGCCACCAGCCCGAGAGGCCGACGCCTCCGCCGACGCGCACCAGGCCCCTGGTTGAGAGGGCCCGAGGGCGCGACGAGAATCTGCGAAGTTTTCCTCCTCGTCCTCCTCCTCGTCCTCCTCCTTCTCCTCCTCCTTCTCCTCCTCCCTTCCTCCTCCTCGTCGTCCTCCTCCTCCTCCTCTACCGCTTCCTCTCTCCTCTTGTTTCCTCTGCCCGCGGATCCGCCACCTCCCTTCTCCTCCTCCCTCCTCCTCCTCCCCCTCCTCCTTCTTCTCTTCCTCCTCCTTTCTCTTACGTCTTCCTTTCCCTCCCTCCTCATCTTCCACCCCCCCCTGGAAGTCTCGGACACCGTCGGATCGTTTCAGAACTCGGTTGGGAACTTCCAGGCGCCACCCGAAAACCCCGAACGCACCCGAAAGCCTGCTTCTCCTTCTCCCCCAGGCATCCCCATGGCGGCCGTATCCATGATGGAGATCACCTTCAGGATGTACGACACCACGCGCTACGACGGCATGAACCAAGAGACGTCGTTGCTAATCGCCGTCGTCCTGTACATCATTGTCACGGTCGTCTTCTTCTCGAACCTGTTGATCGCCCAGCTGAACTGCGCGTACCAGTCCACCTACCAGGACATGGTGGGCTACGCGCGCCTGAACCGTGGCAAAGTGGTCACGGAGGCCATGACCTTTGCGTCGGACCAGCGGTGGCAGAAGTTCTTGGCGTCCCTGCGGCCGCTTGGGAACACTCTCCAACCACACTCCTGATCAATACCCCGTGGCTGGAACGGCAAGGGGGAGAATCTGTGTGTGTGAGTGTGTGTGTGTGTGTGTGGTGGGTTTCATCTGCAACGCCAGGCGGTGATTGAACTAAGCGCGGCCCGCCTTAGTACATTCTGCGGTGATGCCACCCGGCTGCTTGGGGAAAAAAGAGTGTGATGGCTTTGGGCGCGGTCCTTGTTTATTGTCAGTTATGCCGGTGTTTGCATGACTGCTCAGATTTATGATTTCGCCTGCAATCATCCACCCACCAGTCACACGCCACTAGTGACAGCTGACATGCATTGTCAGCTTCGTTTTGGCACGCCACTGAGGCTGTCTGTGCGTTTCACTGCCATTTGCATTCTGCGATTTGCGGCACAGGTTCACTTTGAGAATTGCATATTCTATTGGTGGCGCAGTTCGCCCGACAGCCTGTGTGCTTCGCGTTGGCTACCACTCGCCTGTCAGTTTTTTTTTTTTCCTGATGCCTACGGCCTACGTGGGCATCTTTCTTTCTTCTTTGAAAGCAGTTGCCCACAACGGACGAACTCGATACATCCGTTTTCTTGCAGAGGTGTGTGTGTGTGTGAGAGAGTGTGTGTGTGTGTGGACAGCTTTTGCCAGCAAGCAGTGGAACGCCACCTGGTACTGCTCCGACTGCCTCGCGTATCCGTGGGCTGCCCGCCCCAGTCGCGTCAAGGCCATCCTAGAGCGGGACGGCGTTCTGGTGTTTCCCCGTGTCGCCCCCAAGCGGGAGAGGAAGCCGCCCCTGTCCGCCCCGCAACCGTCGTCCCTGGCGCGACCCTCTGGCCGCGTCCCCTCTCCCCGCCGGCTGAGGGACCAGAGGCCCCCATTGAGGGGCCCTTCGCCGATCTACTGATCCGCTCGATCTGTTCTCTGCCGCCGCCGCCTCAGCAGCGCCCCCGGGGGCGCTGGCGCGGGAGCTGCTGGCTCACGCCACGGCTCGAGACCGCCCGCCCCCCGACTGCAGCCGGCGCAGCCGCAGGCCCGGCGCAGGCGCCCACGTGACCACGGCCCAGCCCGCCGCCGGCGCCGGAGCAGCCCCAGAAGCCCAAGCCAGAAACCGACAGCCGGGCTGAGTCCTCGCAGGGGCGCCCCTCCGGCATCCGCGGCAGCCCCGGCTCCTGCCGCTCCTCCACGCCTCCGCCCCGCCTCAGTCCGAGGCAGCCGCCTCGCGACCCGCGGCCCGCCGGACGGTCGCGGCTCTGCAGCACCACAGCCGCTCGCAACTGGCCGCCCGGCGCCAGCTGAGGAGAGGGCCGGACTCAGGAGGGAAAAAAAACACACAGACACAATTATTCGTCGATTCCCAGAAAATATGAGAAAATATGGGAAGTGGGGGGAGTGCAAAAACCCAGAAAATATGGAAACATATGGGACATATTTTTATTTGAGTGTATTTATTTGTGTGTCCTTGGGCCCCTTCGCGGAGGGTCGCAGCCCAGGCCGATTGTCCAGCCTCCCCAGCTTGCCAACAGCCTTCTGGACAGCCTCCCCGACATCGCCCCCCCGCGCCTGCCCAGCTCTCAGGGTAGGGAATATTGCAGAGCTGAAAACAGTGGGACGTATCGGCCCGCTTGCCGACCAAAGGGAAGGCTGACAACACTATCGCACACACACCATGGTTACGCATGCCCGCTCCCTATCCCCCCAGATCAACGAGGCGTGGAAGACCTGGACCGTTGACCACCGCGCCGCCGCCCTCATCAGGTCAGGGGCCCCTGGTGACCCCAGAGCATGGACCGAGGCCAGCTGCAAGGCTTTCCTCACGACCATCCACGGCGACGCTATCCCCCTGTCTGGGTTTTTTCGGAAGGCGTTCGAGGGGACGGCAGGCGCGCCGCCTGGGCCCAGCCGGTGAGCCACTTGCATAACCAGCGGCGCGGCGCCTCCCCCAGGGGCCACAGCATGGCCGCCGCATGGGACAAGTACCGGCAGTCACACGATCCGCGCGCCAATTGGAAGGGACGCGATCCAGCCCGATATAGCCAGGACGTCTTGCTTGGCTACCTGAAGCCGGTGAACGTCAGCAGTTTGCGAGACCCACAGCTGGCCGGATTCAATCCACTCGGCGCCCGAAGGCGGCAGCGCTCCACCCTCGCTGTCTTCAGCGCCCCTGCCCAGGGCACGCCCACTCCGCCCCCGCATGGGGGAGCTTCTGTCTCCAACGAGACCAACGTGCGAGAGGGTGGCGCTGCCCCCGGGTTCCTGCCAGTTCACAGCAGGGCAGCCCATCGCGAGCCATCAGCAAACCCCCTCCACTCACGAGTGAGGTCGACGCCGCTGCCCAGGGCAGCGCCGAGAGTGGGCAGGGACGATCGCGCGCAAACTCCAGCGAAACCCCGCGTGCCGCTACCCGGCGGCAGGCAAGCAGGTCTCCCAACACCCCCGCTGCTCCGCCCTCCCCTCCGAGTTCGGGCCCGGACTGGAGTAGCCCCCCGGAGCGGCGAACCCCTGCCAGTCCAGCTCCGCAGAACATCGAGGCGGCTCCACCCAGCCCGCGCGGATGCCCTCCGCGCGCCGCAGACGGACGGTCAGACCCGAGCCCAGAACGCGGGCCCGCACTACAGGCAGAGCAGTCCGACGGAGGCGCGCCCGCTGGCGCCACCGAGGAGCCCGCGCGCAAGACTCCGCACCACCGAACACCCCAGCCCACGGACCACGGGAAGTGGCGACGGGAGCGACCCACGGGGAAGCGACCGGCCCTGGCGCCAGTCCAGTCAGTTCCACCGCACTGCCATCTTGCCTGGCGGCTACACTCCCCATTGGGATCGCGACGACAGGCTGTGCAACAAGCCGCGCCAATCCATCAACTGGCACCCTGGCTGGAATTACCGTGCTACGCCAGGAGCAAAGGCGCGAGGTGGTCAACCGCCTCAAGAAATACTGTGGCCCCATGTTTGTCATCGGCTGGAACGCGTCTGCGACCACCGTATGGACAGACAAGGGTCCACCCGGAACCCAAGCCTCCTGCCAATCGAGTTTTGCAAGGATTTCGTCCCCCAGCTCATCCAGGCCGACTTCGACGTCCGCGCCCTCCTTACTGGGACAGGAATATCCAGGTCGACTGGCACGCCTCGTGGGACCAAGAGATGGAAAGGAGGAGGCTCGCCGGCCAGGTCGGAAAAGGCAAAGGGAAAGGCCCCCCACCCCACGGCAAGGTGGTCAAAAGGTTGGCCGACTCGACCTGGCCTAGCAATGACCTCGCCAGACAGCGCTGCCCTGGCCCCTCCAGTCGCCACTGGCAGGCAGCCGCAGTCTGGCCGGGCTCCCACCCCTCCTACGCAAGAATTCGCCCCCGCGCGCTCTCGCTGCCCCCACTTGCCCGCCGGTAGCGGCCGGCCTCAACAGCCCAGCACACCAGTTCGGGGTGGCCCTGCGCCTGCCCCCCTGCAGCAAGCGCGCCTCAGCTCAGGCAGGGCCCCGTCCCCGTCCTCCTCCGCACGGCGCGTTGCCCTGCCTCCTGACGCAGTTGGGTGCGCCGGTGCGGTGTTACCCCCCTGCTCTGCCCACGAGCAGTGCACCTGTTCGGTGTGACCCGCCCAGCTCGCCGTCTCTGGCGCCCGCGCCCTGGCGCGCGCCTTGCCCCCCCCCCCCCCCCTCCCGCTCTGGCGCCCGCGCCCTGGCCGCAGGGTTCGGGTGCCCCTGCTGCGCCTGCCCCCCTGTCGTCGCTCCTGGGAGGAGGCCGCTGCCCCCGCTCGTGCAGTGCACCTGTGCGGTGTGACCCGCCCAGCTCGCCGCCTCTGGCGCCTCGCTGCTCTCCGCGCCGTGGCACAGCAGCGGCGGGCTGCCCGGGGCTCCCCTCCCCACGCGGCGCCCCGCTGCTGCGAGGGCCGCCCGCCGCTCTGCCCTTCTGGCTGGTCACGCCCCCGTCGCCCCCCGCGAGGTGCTGGTCGACTCAGGAGGGAAAAAAACACACAGACACAATTAATCGTCGATTCCCCAGTAAATAGGGGAAATTATCCCAGCAAAGCAACCTAACAGCGATGTGGAAAAGCATATATACGAGCAGCCTCCTTAAGATTCATATGAGAATCCAATTGTAGAATGCTAAATCTGACCCTGCAATCAACGGATGTGGGTCTACACGAGGCCCTGCTAAAAACGGATGAAGTTTCAAACGAGACGCTTGGGAACTTGCATTTCAAAGGACGTGCGTCCACAGCCTGCCACAGTTGAATGACTGACTAATTATATAACTGTATGTTGGAATGAGCTTTATCCAAACATAAATGCATGGAGGTTTAATCGAAACACAGCTAGCAATAGATGTGAGCGAAAGGGGACACTGCTATCAACTGATTTATCTCTGCGAGAGAAACCACTTACGAGACACTTTTAGGGACGGATCAATGCTCGATCAAGGTGTGCACGTAAGCAGAGCTGGAAGCATAGTCTGAAGTATTCTGTGCGTTCGCGAAAAGTATGTCCAGACGAGATCGCATTTTTGAAAAATGTTTTTTTTCAAATGTGACTCTGCTTCACTAGATATAGGTCCAAACGAGATATGTATGGATTTACTTCAAAGGATTGACTGATTTATATAAATGTATGTTGAAATGAGCTCATGTATCAATGCATGGAGATCTGATTGAAGCACAGCTATCAACGGATGTGGGGCGAATAAGAGAAAGGGGACACTGCTATCAACTGATTTATCTTTGAAAGAGAAACCACTTGGTCCTGATCTCGTTGATCCGTGGGGGGGCTGCTATTGCATCTCAGAGATGTTATAAGTTTGTCCGTCCTTAGATGATAACTCCGCTTAGCCCCGCGAAGAGTGTTATGTACACCGACCACAGACGCATCGAGGATCAAGCTCCCGAGGATGAAGATCTTGGGACACCAGCTCGATCCTCGACTGATCCCCCGATCCAGAGTTCAAGGTTCTCGAGCCAGGTATCCGAGATCTTGTGATCTCGGATCCACGACGGCTCGAGAATCTGGAAGC